ACACAGCAGGAACTCAAAAAAGCTGCGCTGTGTGACATTTTGGTAAGAGACTGATGGTAGGCACGAGAGTGATCCTGTAAAATTACAAAGGAGCTGAAAACTGTCACTTGGTAACATCCCACAGCACCACAAGACAAAACATTGCATGGCTGGTCATGTTGTTGACAAGAAAGCCACGCTGCCTGTCATTTGAAAGTACAGCACACTCATCAAGTATATGGCACCTGACAACAACACTGGTAGCAGACAACGCTGTGACTGTTTCTGTATTTGCAGCATTATTTCAGTGCTCTGCTATTTATAAAAGGGCTCCCATGATGTAAACAACTGCCCTGTTACTGTAGCAGCAACCTTCTACACCCAATGTTTACCAGGTCTCCTTATTGGATCAGGATTCTTTGCTGAGTGACCTGAACAAACTTGCACACTAAGAGCGGTGTGGAGCATAGCAACAAAATGGCCTAATGATGCACTTCTCAGAATACATATCCCATGCTTCAGCCACAGCCACAGCCACAGTGTAGGAGTAGAGGGAACTTGATGCCCGACTCCTACTTCTCAACTCTTTTAACTCACGTGAGGTGAAAATCTTACATTACCACTTTTCCTTTAATATAAAATGTGGGTAGATTATTTGTCCCACCTTTGACCTCCAGCGAATCCATCATGAGATTGCCGCTGGCTTATCTACATAAAAGCATCATTCTGAACTGACTAAATTGCAATACTAGAACTTTAAAATGCTTAGGTGTAGCCCAAGACATGAGAAAACAGATCTAGAAGTTATCAGAAATGCCCAGGATTCAGTTGGTGTTTCAGCTTACTGGCTAACGTCACCAACCTTAATTCAGCACCCAAACAAGTTCTCTGATAACCTCCTGTGTGTTCCTCAACAACTCTGGGAAAAGGGCTGACACTGCATCCCAAGCAGGCTGTCTCTCCCTCTGGGGCTGTGGAGGAACCAGTGTCTGCACCTCTCAAAAACTCCTGAGATCATTATAAACCAGTTTTCCCAAAGCCTAGCAGAAATGGAAGAGTCTGCAGATTGTTTCTTCCAACAGCACCTTCAACTCAATCAGTAAATTTCCCAAATGTTCAGAAGTCTAAAAATACTTATTAGTTGTTGGTTTTGATTCCTCTCCTGGGGCGTTGACAGCGCCCTGACAGAGGGCGCGCTCATCTCCTATCTAACAACAGTCGTCATCTATTTTCAGTCACTATAACAATGTACAGCAGGCAAAGCACTTTGTTCTGTTGTGGTTTTGGTTTTCTCTGAGACAGGGTTTCTCTGTAGCCTTGTGTACCCTGAAATTTGATCTGCAGACGGATCAGACCTTGAACTCAAGAGATGCCCCTGCCTCTACCTCCCAAGTGCTGGGATTAAAGGCCAGTTTACCATGCCCATGTTAGGCACTTTGTTTTTTTAAAAGGCTATTTTGGCCAGTTTGGGAGGCTGAAAGCCCATCTTTTCAGGAAGTCCCAGCAGTTTATTATTATTATTATTATTATTATTATTATTATTTTTGGTTTTTCAAGACAGGGTTTCTCTGTGGCTTTGGAGCCTGTCCTGGAACTAGCTCTGTAGACTGGGCTGGTCTCGAACTCACAGAGATCCGCCTGTCTCTGCCTCCCGAGTGCTGGGATTAAAGGCGTGTGCCACCATCGCCCGGGAAGTCCCAGCAGTTTAGCTCTGGTGAAGCTGTCAATGTGGATGACTTCGTGGTAAAGGTCAAGTGAGATGGGGAGGAAGGAAGATGGGAGAGCAAAGGTGGACAAAGGCCAAACAATGCAAGGGTTAGGCTCACTCTCATAATAACAACCTGCTCTCAGGGAACTAACTCAGCGAGGCCACCACAATCCTCAATACCTAGCCACTGTCCTTCCTGCAAACTCCATCTCTTTCTCGGTTTATCGAGACAGGGTTTCTCTGTGTAGCCCTGACTGTACTGGAACTCCCCCTGTAGACCAGGATTGGCCTTGAACTCAGAGATCCAACTGCCTGAGGTTCCCAAATGCTCGGATTGAAGGTGTGTACAACTGCCACCTTTAAAATATAACACTAGAGTACTGCCACACTGAGAACATCTTCCCACACACAAATCTTTGGCGGATAAATCATATCTACACTACACAAAAATCTATACATGGAAGTCCATGGGATGTGTCTAGTAATTTCTTTTATGGAGTTTGAAATAAGTCCAGACCATTCTACTCCCCATAAGAATCTGTGGGATAATGCTCTCGAACACAGGCAAGATTTGTCACTTGCATTGATTTAATAAAATACTGGTTGGTCAGTAGCCAGACAGCAAGTATAGGAGGGGCAAAAGGATTCTCCAGTGCTGAGGGAATTGGCAAGGTGTAGTTAATTTAAAAAGAAAAACATGTAGTACCCTACAAATGCAAATTTAACAAAAATAGAAAGAAAAATGAAGTAAGTATAAGAGGGAAATTTCTGAGTAACTGACTACAATGCAAACACAACGGAGAAAAGGATGGAGTCACTTCCCTCTGTTGTCTAAGATTCTCTACCTCCATTCCCACTGCTCCTAATGTGATATCTGAAATAAATCCAAAAGTGGTATAGACAACTGCTCCTCAGAATCACAAAATCAGATATAAATTTCTCTTTTTCTCTCACAAATACTAAGGACTGACCCGAGAGCCCCCTCCAATCTAGGCAAGTGTTCAACAATAGAGCACCTGGGGCTGGAGAGATGGCTCAGTGGTTAAGAGCACTGTCTGCTCTTCCAGAGGTCCTGGGTTCAATTCCCAGCAACCACATGGTGGCTCCAAACCATCTGTAATGAGATCTGGCGCCCTCCTCTGGCGTGTGGGTATACATGGAGGCAGAAAGTTGTATACATAATAAATAAATATATCTTAAAAAAAAAACAATAGAGCTCATGTCCAGATCTCAATAGTTTAAGATGTAATATAGCACTTGGGAGGCAGAAACAGGCAGATCTCGGTGAGTGCTGGCTCCTGGAGGCTTTTTAATAAACAAAAAGCATGCAGAATGTGAAACTCCAAACACACATTTAGGACTGTGAGAAAGGCAAAGGTGAGCTGGTGAGGGAAAGGAAATCACTAGGAATAGGAATGCACCTGTGGCACCCACGCTGCTCATAAGTGCCATTGCCAGTTCCGTTCCAGAAGTTGTGGCTATTGTCTTAGGAAACTTTGTAAGATTTTGGGGAAACACACAAACCGTCTATTATTTCCTTCAATAGATTTATACTAACTGCCTGTTAAGTCAGGTGTTGTTTTGTTTACCTCGAAGGCATCTCCCAGTTTTTCCAAATCAGTATGTATCTGGACATCAAGCACTTCTCCTGTCTCCCTTTAAAGAAGCGAGTTTGCTAATGGCTCTTACTGTTTTCATTTATTATTTAAAAGTTAACCGCCGGGCGATGGTGGCGCACGCCTTTAATCCCAGCACTCGGGAGGCAGAGGCAGGCGGATCTCTGTGAGTTCGAGACCAGCCCGGTCTACAGAGCTAGTTCCAGGACAGGCTCCAAAGCCACAGAGAAACCCTGTCTGGAAAAACCAAAAAAAAAAAAAAAAAAAAAGGTTAACCAATCAGAGACGGGCGGTGTTGGCAGAGGCAGGCCCATATCTGTGAGTTTGAGGCCAGCCTGGTCTACAAGAGCAAGAAACATTGCCTCGAAAAAAACAAAAACAAACAAACAAAAAAAAGACTTTACCGATCAATCTTCATCCTATGAAGGTAATGTATATGAAATCTACTACCACTGTGACTCAACCTGAATACAAACTAGACCTGCTTTCCTGGGTCTGAACTCTAGGGTGCCCAAACCGATAACTGCTTTCAGGTTGACAATCTGCTCATTAGCTCTGCCCGTGCAAACAAAGATTCTGCAAGCTGGAGGCCACGCGCAAAAGACTAAAGTGTTGGTGGACCTTCACCAGGCACCACCACCTTACAGAACTTTATCTCAAGAATAGTTCTAGCCGGGCGGTGGTGGCGCACGCCTTTAATCCCAGCACTCGGGAGGCAGAGGCAGGCGGATCTCTGTGAGTTCGAGGCCAGCCTGGTCTACAAGAGCTAGTTCCAGGACAGGAACCAAAAGCTACGGAGAAACCCTGTCTCGAAAAAATCAAAAAAAAAAAAAAAAAAAAAAAAAAAAAGAATAGTTCTAGGTTTAAGGAGATCTAAACGATTCCTCCCAACCTGGCTAGTGCAAGCAAACCCGCAGGAGAGGTGCACATTCTTGGAGTTAACCATAGAGAGCTTTAGGGAGGAGTTCGACAGGCTAGGTTAATGTCTATGAGACAAGGCGTACCCCACGCCCACTCGGTCAATGCACTGCGCAGGTACTGGTCCTGATTCGTGAGTTCTACCGTCCTAGTACTGCGGTCTCAATAGCTCCAGAGCAGGGAAGCCGCTCGCGGAGCTGAGCAAAGACTTGCCACTCCAACCCTACCCCTCATCCTGTTGCTCACCGGTGCTGCAGACCCCCGAGTCCTGCAGTGATCACATGCGGCACATCTAGCTGCGTGGGCCACTCTCCAGAAGCGATGCACCCAAACACGCCACATTCCTCACGCATCCCCGACTCCTCCACGTCCATGGCCCCGCCGAAAGCACGTGGACGGACCTGCGGCCGCGGCGCGGTCCGAGCACCAACCAGCTGTCCGCTCTGCTCTAGTAAGCCGCAGAAGCTCACGCCGCCGACTGCCTCCTCCTTCCCCGCGGGCTAGGTTCTCGCTACTGCGGCGGCGCGCGCTTTCAAGGGGGGCGTTGCCAGCTGGGCCTCCAGCGCCTGGCCAATCAGCTACGGCGCTGATCGGGGGCGGAGCTATGGAGTCAAAGGGGTGTGGCCAGTTCTCCGCGGGTGAGGTAAGGGAGGCTACTGTTTCCACACGTGGAAATCTCCGTTATTTTCCGCTCCCGAGACGTCAGTGGTGAGAGGAGCGCAGTTGGTGGTGTTGACCCCTCAGAAGATTTGAGCCGTGCGTGCCCCAGGTCGCACGCTGTCCCCCGACCGTCGGGACTTGGTACGCTCCAACACAGAACCCTCTCCCGGCCAGCGGGGCCCAAGCTTGCGCCCCACTTCTCGCCGCTGGGAGACGCAGAGCCGCCCGGAAGTGGTGTCTCGTCGGCGCGCATGCGCGGCGGGAAACCCGTGGGTATCCGATCCCAGCCCCTTTTGCGGCCAGTCCGGTACTTCGCTGTAGCTTTCCGGTCGCACGGACTGACCAGACGTAGCGGCTTTACCTCCCCTAGCATCGCCTTCCCCCCCCCCCCCCCCCCCCCCCGAGCCTCTGGTGGTTCTTGTTTTACCGACCGCTCCACCACTTTCCCGCGCCGTCTTGCACCTTCATCCCACCTAGAATCATGGCGACAGCTGAGGGTGAGTAGCAGTCTTTCCGACCCGCTGGTTTCCTCACACACACACACACCCTCCAGCAGGGAGTTGCATGCTTGGCGTGGACTCGTGCAGCTCCGGGGTCGGATTGCAGCCCTCCTGGTACAGTGCCCGGCTGGTTTACCCGCGATGGCGCCAAAGGCCCAGATACTGCACACGTGGTGTACGTGCAGTGAGACGTGCTTTGGACACCGAGCACCCGGGTCTCCTGAAATTCCCAGAAAACTCCCCGGGAGTGGAGGAAAGTAGCAGAGTGGTTAGGTGCCCCGGAGGAGAAATGTCCTAAAACTAACGAAGATCCTAGAATCTGGGATAGATAAATAGTAATAAAAATCTAGCAGAATTTTTAACCCAAAGTTTATTTTGTTAAGATTCTTACGCCAATTATCTCCTTTAGGTTAGCCATATAATTTAATAATATGACTCTAGATCCAGATATTTCGTGTTGGTCAAGTGCTTGATTTGTAGTTCAAGCTAGCCTGGGATTTCGGGAACGGGTGTGGGAGAGTACCGATCTGAAATAATTGGTAATCTTTGGTGCCATGGATAATTGGTAATCTTTGGAGAGCGCCAAAATCGAAGGAAAACTCACTTTTTGTTTGATAAGTTTAGTTACGCTATCATTTTGTCTCTGCTTGGTTAGAGCCTCAGGAAAGGTCGTTTGCTGTGGTAAAAACCACAAAACGCTGTCGTGGGCCACAATAAAAGTTTCTACGTAGTGACGTAAATTGTGTTGGCGCCCCAGCATATTATTTCCCACTTACGAAGAGCGAAAAACAACAACAAAGCGGTGCTATAGCTTCATTAATTGGAACTTTGGCCCAGAATTTTTCTGAGATCAGGGTGCCTGTATTTCAAAACTAGTAAAAATCTCTAGAATTTTCCTCTTGGGTGCCATCACTCTCATGTGACAGAATGCTATGTTGGGGGGTATGCTTGAGAAGTCTGGAGTGTTTCTAGTCCCTTAGAACCCGAGTTAAATGCCTTTTTAATAGATACTGCTTTTATGCTTTTGGTTTTTTGCTTTTGGGGTTTTTGTTATTGTTTTTCGAACCCCTGTTTCTCTGTAGCTTTCAGAACCTGATCTGGAACGATCTCTTGTAGACCAAGCTAGGCCATTGATTTCCTTCTTGGACACTTAATTGTTTTCCTGTGCCAGCTGCTGGTGTGACCTAATCAACTCTTCTTTGATTTATTTTTGTTTGTTCCCGAAAGGGTCTCACTGTGTATCTCTGGCTGGCCTCCCCGCTAGCTTTTCCACTTTATTTCCTGCTGCTCTGCCTATTGGCTGCTCTGACCACTACCAGTCTGCATGCGACCAGGGCACTAAGTGCTCAGCCTTGCTGACCCGCTCCACCCTTGCTGCTTGATCTTGCCACTTTTAATTATGCAATGTGACGTTCTGATCATATTTCAGGCCTCCATGCAGCTTTTACTTTATTCTAGGCTTCTCTGATGCAAGTAAGGTGGTCCTGCTGTGAATATGGGATCCCATTGTCCCTACTTTGTGTTATTTTTATTATCGTTGCTTATTTATTGACTGTTTCTTTCAATACTCAGGTCCCTTGAGAGCAGAAATTAGATTTCATTTGCTATTATATCCATCATCCTGGCACACGAATACCCTGGAAAAGTACTGGGGATAAATGTGCTGTGGAAACTTGAGAAGCAATTCCCTGTACCTTTACACTTTGGTTCCTTGTTGTTTTCATCTAAATCATTCCAGTGTGGAGTCTAGTGCTCTGCCTGTCTAGCTGTGCACATCTTCAGTCTCAGGGAGAAGCAGGGGCAGAGGAACCTCTGAGTTCAAGGTTAGCCTAGTCTGTCTACCAGGAGCATTCCAGCCTAGCCAGGACTGTGCAGTGATACCCTGTCTCTGGGGAAAAGAAAATGCTTTTATATTCACTTCCTGGTACTTTTCTACTTCCCCAGTGGAGAGGGCACTGACTGGTGGCAGAGACTCGAAGTACTTCTTTCTCGAGGGCTAACTAACCCAATTGTAAATAGAGGAAAGCCTGCCTTAGTCTCCAAGTCTAGCCTAGGAGTCGGGTGGGCCCAGCTTTAGAAGGGAACCTCATAAAAATGTCTTTTGATTTGGGATTTTTATTTCATTTGGTACTGGGGAGGCCCAAAGAATCTGGGACTTGTTTCTAGTTCAGTCAAAGTTAATCAAACAAAGGTCCCACCTAGTTATGAATCAAAGAGTTCCACTCACTCTTCAAGGCTATTGTCAACAGGTGTGGCTAGCTGCTGTGCCTGTGCTGGCTCCTGGAATGGGAGGAAGTTGGTCCCTCCTAAAACAAAAGTCTAAGGATCCAACTAAGTTCCATTCTGGAAGTGACTTGGGATTTCACCCAGGGAGTGGTTGGTCTAGGGTGTGAGTGTGAAGAATGTAGCCTGTGATTTTCAATTTGTAGGTACATGCAGTCTTTTGTTGTTTTACTCTTACCTTTTGGGGTTAGGGGTATATTAAGCTGTTGGAAAATTGAACACAGGCGAGTTTTCAGTACATTTATCAATTTTCACACCTCCACTCTGGAGAAAGGTATTTGGTTGAGGCTGGCCCCCGGCGGGCACTACACTTTCAGCCCAGACCTTTTTTTTTTTTTTTTAATATTTATTATATATACAACATTCTGCCTCCATGTATGCCCGCACGCCAGAAGAGGGCTCCAGATCTCAGTACAGATGGTTGTGAGCCACCATGTGGTTTCTGGGAATTGAACTTAGAACCTCTGGAAGAGCAGCCAGTGCTCTTAACCTCTGAGCCATCTCTCCAGCCCCAGCCCAGACCTTTTAAATGTTATGCCAGCTCTGCTGTCACTACCTCCACCACCTACTAGATTTTTCAGATGAGTGAAGAAGCCCCTTACAAATTAATTTTTAAAAAAATTGAAATCAAGAAATTATTCTGAATTTTCCCATTTAACTTGTTATGAAAAGTCAAGAAAAATAAAGCATTTTTTCTCCTGTAAATTAATTTAAATAATGTATTGTAGTTGTGTGTACAAAAATACTACTGCTAGTTTTCAGGTATCTATACTGGCCTGATCTTGGGGTGTATGTCCCCAGTTGTAGCCACTAAGAGCACACCTCCTGTGCACATTTATTACCTTCCCCTTTAAAAGGACTCTTCCCACCTCCCATCTCTTTGTCTGTCTGTCTGTCTGTCTGTCTCTGACTCTTCTCTTCTGACACTCCCAGAAGCCAGTCTCCCCTACCCTTTTCCCATTCACTTTCTCCCAGTATAAAACCCCTCCACCTGAGCCCTGTCACATGGCATCTTTCTCTCCTGGGCTGCTTTTTGTAAACTACAACAACTACTATGGTTACACTAATTTTAATTGTTTTAGTTCAGAGACAAGCTGATAGAGAAAGCCTGATGTTATCCAGAAGATTTGGGATTTTTTTTGTTTTTGTTTTTCGAGACAGGGTTTCTCTGTGGCTTTGGAGCCTGTCCTGGAACTAGCTCTGTAGACCAGGCTGGTCTCGAACTCACAGAGATCTGCATGTCTCTGCCTCCCGAGTGCTGGGATTAAAGGCGTGCGCCACCACTGTCCGGCTAGGATTTGGGATTATTTGTAGTTCTGCATATACTAAATGTGTAACCTCAACTTTGTGAGCCTTCATTTTCTAATCTGTAGTTAACATAAGTACACTAACAAAATTATGTGATGATACATGAGAAAATTACATTGAAAAGTATAATGTTTATGCAAATGGTTTTTCTAAATTTTTTATATTAATCACTGTCCATGCCGTGATTCAACATTTTAGCTGATTCTTTGATATTTAGGAAATCTTCCTGAATCTGATATAATTCTATTTTATTTCCACAGTACTGAACATTGGGAGAAAACTCTATGAGGGTAAGACAAAAGAAGTCTATGAATTGTTAGATAGTCCAGGAAGAGTCCTCCTACAGTCCAAGGACCAGATTACAGCGGGAAATGCAGCCAGAAAGAACCACCTGGAAGGCAAAGCTGCAATCTCCAACAAGATCACCAGCTGTATTTTTCAGCTGTTACAGGATGCCGGTGAGCGCTCCCTTTGTGTCTTCATATTGGTCGTTTTCGTGGAGAGAAATTATTTGGATCAGGAACATGTTACAATTACCTGTGTATTTTACTACATCTAGATGTGGGTAACTGACTTCTTCTCTGGGAGATGGCTGTATTTGAGCTGACCTGTTTGGGAATGTCCCACAGGCTAGTTGCATATAGTAAAATCAAGGCTAGAGTTTTTAAAGTTCACTTTTAACAGGTAACTGGTTTGGAGGTAATGGTCTTTAGGTTCAAAGAAACTTTAGGCTGGGGATAGCTCAGGTATATAATCTCCAATATTGCCCACAGTCTTAGTTACTTTTCTGTTACCATGACTGAGGCAACTTATAAAAGAAAGTATTTAATTTGGGGTGTACAGTTCCAGAGAGTAGAGTTCATGACGGTTGTGGCCGGATGGTGGCAGGCAGGCAGGGCACTGGGGCAATAGCTGAGAGCTTACACCACACATAGGAGGCAGAGAGAGCTAACTGGGAATAACTTGGGGGTTTGCAACATCAAAGCCGAGCTCCTCCAACAAGGCCATACCTAATCCCAAACAGTTCCACCAGCTAGGGAACAAGCATTCAAACCCACCTCCCAGGGGAAAAAAAAGAATTTAAGAGAAACTAACAATTTCCTGTAGTCTTCGGTCCTGTGAATCACCAGTGTAATTTTCTTCTGCAAGATCATCTCAACCTTAGGGAATTTAACTATACAGGCTGCCTTCCTGGTGTTAGCAGCCCTAAGTAATAACATGAATTTACTCCCTGGAGTGCTGCACAGTTGCTCTTTGTTCTGCCTATTGGAGGCAGTACAGACTTAAGTCCTGCTTCTACTTGTAAATGCTGAGAAGTATTGGAAGGTAGCAGCTGTGCCTTCCTGTCCTTGTGTTCTAAGTGACTGGACTGAACTTAGTTAAGAGGTCCACCTTGAAAAACTATTTTTCTTCCAGTATACAGAATACTGAAGTGAAGGAGGAGAGTTAGGATTTTTTATTATTTATTGGATCATGAGGCTTTGTTTTCCAAGTTTATGTGTACGTGCTGAAGCTGGGTGGGATGCCACATGCATGCATGAGTCCTCTGGTATCTGCAGAGGGTTTCCGGTCCCATGGAACTAGATTGGAGGTGGTTGTGAACTGCCTTGTGGCTACTAGGAACCACACCCAGCTCTGCAAGAGCAAGAAGTGCAGACCCACCTTTCCAGCCCTAGAGCACTATACATTTAAACTGTCATCAGAGAGGTTGTTAGTTTTCAGAGTCCCATCCCAAACAGCTCTTGGCTTAGCTTTTCAGTTACAGTCACAAGAAATGGAAGAGCACATATGATAGATGCTATTTCAAGGACTCTTTAGACATTAAAAGAAAAGGTATCTTTAGAATGTAGGAGTGAATCACAATACTGGACTATAGGACATGAGACTTCTGTACTCCATTTAGCTTTAGAGGTAATTTAATACCTCTCGGTATTAATGCCTTCCACAAAGTTAGATAATCAGTAGTAAATAGGGGAGAGACTGGGGTGTCCTGTTTAAAATAAGCCTCATAGGTGGAGGGTAAAGCATGCTTAGCTTGGGTCTTTAGTTCTACTGTGTGATATTAAAATGAAACTGTCTGCTATTTTGATAGCTAATCAAAAACATTGTTAGCCTTTTTATGATCTTATTTTTAATTATATATATCTGTGTATGGGTGTAGCACGAATTCAAATTGTTCTTAATAAAAACCCAGAGTTAGATATTAGGGATGAAAGCTGAGAGATCAGAGAAGCAGAGTGGCCAGTCACTAAAGACACCTTTTACCTCTACCGATGCTCAGACCAAGGGGCAATCCTGTCCTCAGATTGCCTTCTCTGACTGCATCTCCAGACTGCAGTGAGCTCCTGTCTCCCGCTTTATATTTCTCTCTCCATCCTGCCATATCCCTTCCTGTCTCCACCTCCCTAGTGCTGGGATTAAAAGCATAAGCCACCACTGCCTGGCCCCTAGTGGTTTAGCTCTGCACTCTGATCTTCAGGCAAGCACTGTATGTTAAGACACAAAGTATACTACATGTGGGAATGTGCATTTGAGTGCAGGTGCCAAAAAGGCCAGAAACATTGGATGCCCTGGAATTGGAGTTAAAAGGGATTGTGAGCCTACAGTCATGGGTGCTAGGGACCAAACTCTGGTCCTCTAGGATAGCAATAAGCACTTAACCTCTGAGCCATCTCTAATCCCGTGGTGAACTTTATTTTTGATAAGAGGTTTTGTTTGTTTGTTTGTTTTTGTTTTTATTTACTTTTGAGGTGGCTAAGCCAATGCAAGCTTAACTTGTCTGAGTTCTATCCCCCAGAAACCTTATAAAGAGGGAGCTGGCCCTGCAGTGTATACATATATCAGAATAAATTGAAAGAGGAACTTTATTCTTTATGTCTTATTAACCTTTAAAGAAAAATTTATTGATTTTTACCCTTTTATCATCAATATGTAGGTATCAAGACTGCTTTCACCAAGAAATGTGGGGAGATTGCTTTCATTGCACCCCAATGTGAAATGATTCCAATTGAATGGGTGTGCCGAAGAATAGCAACTGGATCTTTTCTCAAAAGGAACCCTGGTGTAAAAGAGGGGTATAAGTTTTACCCACCAAAAGTGGAGATGTTCTTCAAGGTGATTGCCTTTGTGACTTAAATTAACTCTTATAACTTATATTAGCCAATAATTCTCGTCTGTGTTAGCCATGTGGCTTGGTACCTTTTTCAGCAAGGCAGTCCCATCTTGCTTCCTCTGTGGGTGAGAACTGCAGACTCAATCTTCTTCCCAGAATTCTCCTGTTCTCATTGCCCCACCTATACTTCCTGCCTGGCTACTGGCCAATCAGCATTTCATTAAACAAATAGAAGAAACAAATCTTTACAGGGTAAAATTGTTGTCCCACAGCAAGGAAAGATTTAGATGCTTGATAGGCCTGGTGGTGCACACCTGCATTCCTGCCCAGTATTTAAGGAATGAAGGCCCGGGCTGAAGAGGTGACTCAGCAGTCAAGGGTACTGACTGTTCTTCCAGAGGACCCAAGTTTGATCCCAGTACACATTTGTGGCTTACAACTATTTAACTCTAACTCCAGTCCCAGGGAATCTGATGGTCTCTTCTGGTATACATTCAGGAAAAATACCCATACTTACTGAGAAATGAAATTTAAAGAAGGGGCATAGGAAAATTACTATTTCAAGGCCAGTCTGGGCTATGTAATGAGACACTGTCCCTAGGTGCTTTGATTTTTGTTTTGTTGATTTTTGAGACAGGTTTCTCTGTGTATCCCTGCCTGGCTATCCTGGACTCAACTCTCGACCAGGCTGGCCTCAAACTCAGAGATCTGTCTGCTTCCGCCTCCCAAGTAATTGAAGTTTTATAATTTTAGTCATATTATGAACATTTTATTAATTGCTTAAAAAGGAAAATTGACATTGTATCCAAAGTGGATACACGTGATGCACATATATACAGACAGAACATTCATTACATAAAAATTGCTTTACAGAGAGAGGACAAATTTGGTTTAAGTATTTCATTACCTAGAATAAGTTTCTTATCTAAATGACCTAAAAGAGCTATTAAAAGTAAACAAATTAAGGACTGGAGAGATGGCTTAGCACTGGCTCAAGGTTTAAGTCCGAGCATCCACATGGTGGTTCACATATGCTGGTAACTCCAATTCCAGGGGATCTAGCTTCCTCTTCTGGCTTCTATAGGCACCGTAGTATACAAATGACATATTATGTGCAGGCAAAACACACATAGACCTAAAAAGAAAAACTGTGTGTGTGTGTAAAAGTAGTCAACTTAGGGCCTGAATGGTGGCTCAGCACTTAACTACTCTTACAAAGAAACAGAATTTGCTTTCATCTCCACACATGTAGCATAACACAAACTAAAAAAAAATAAATAGACAAAGTTGAATCTTAAGATGTTCTGAGAGAAGGTTAGTTATATTGAAAATATCAATTCTGTTGTTTTTCCTGACAGGGTTTCTCTGTGTGGCCCTGCCTGTCCTGGAACTCATTTTGTAGACCAGGCTGACCTCGAATTCACAAAGATTCTCCTGCCTCTGCCTCCCAAGTGCTGGAATTAAATATGTGTGTGCCACTACTGTCTGGTGAAAATTTCAATTCTTAGGAACACATTCCAGGAAAAAGAGAACTTTCTTTTCTCTGGAAAATTCGAAATTCTAAGATTGAAATGAACTTGTACTGCTTTGCCTTGTTCTCAGGATGATGCCAATAATGATCCACAGTGGTCTGAGGAGCAACTCATTGCTGCACAGTTTTGTTTTGCTGGACTTGCTATAGGCCAGACTGAAGTGGACATCATGAGTCATGCTACACAAGCTATTTTTGAAATACTGGAGAAAGCCTGGCTGCCCCAGAACTGCACGCTGGTTGATATGAAGGTACTGATAAAATAAGTTTTAAAAATGAAGGTTGTAAATAAGAAATGTTCTTAGTAGTGTGTGTTTTTTTTTTTTTTCAAATCATTTCCTTGGTAATGTGCTGCTTCTAGATTGAATTTGGTGTTGATGTAACTACCAAAGAGATTGTTCTTGCTGATGTAATTGATAATGATTCTTGGAGACTCTGGCCATCGGGAGATCGGAGCCAGCAGAAAGACAAACAGGTATGTAGTGCTTTGTAAGATCAAGCTGTGGCAGTGGTGAGAGGAAGGGGATATTAGTCTGATATGTTGTTAAGTGTTTGCCTTCAAAAATCATTTCTCTGCTGGAGATACAGCACAATGGCAGGGCACGTGCTTAGCACACACAAGGCCCTGGATTCAGCCTTCAGTACCAAAAAGTAAAAGTAGACGGAACTCTCCTGTGGTAGTAAGGAATACTTTTAACCTACAAAAGCAGGTTTTTGTATTATTTGTCATCTTTTGATTCTTAAACAGGAAAGGAGCGTGTGTCCTTGTTTATCTAATAAGTATCTTCACAATATCAAGACTAAGTAACAAATCTGGGACTCTACATAGCAAGTCTCAAGGGCTTAAGTCGGTTACTTGTAATTGCTAATAAAAGCATAGGACCTTAAATGAAAAGCAAAACTTTGCTGCAGAAATTTTTTATTGGAAAAACATTTGTACAGCAGGGTGCATCTTCAGATACATCTTATTATGGGAACTTGTCATAAGCTCTACTTAAACAAGTCTTTTAAGATACCATGATAAGATTATCTAACTTTGTATCTTATTTTCCAGTCTTACCGTGACCTCAAGGAAGTAACTCCGGAAGGACTCCAGATGGTAAAGAAAAACTTTGAGTGGGTTGCAGATCGAGTGGAGGTAATTCTTCTCTAGTAAACCTGCAATAACCAAAACTTGATGGCATCATTGGGCTGAGGAAGTAGCTCGGTAGCTTTTAAAGTGTTTACCTGTTTTGAAGCATGAAGACCTGGCTCTAATTCTCCAGCACCCATATAAAACAACAAAGAAAATGCCAGATGTGGTGGCATTTGTAATCAGTCCCAAGGTTGGGATTCGGGGCAGGAGGACCCCTGGCCTCCCATGGTGGCCAGCATACTTGGAAAGTTCCAGGCCACAGACAGTCCTGTCTCCAGAAGAAAGAAAAAAGATAGATATGACAAGATGGCTCAGTGGTTTAATCACTTGTTGCAAAGTCTCGTGTAATAGAGATCAAAGGAAAAAGCCAAATCCCAAGAGTTCTCTGACTTTCACATTTGTGTGGACATATATACAAAAATAAATTAATTTTTAAATTAGGGGAAAGTTGGCTGGCATCTGAGGAGCATCTGTGCTGTCCTCTGCGTTCCACACAGTTCCACACGTTTGTACATAGCAAACAGTGTGTCCAGGATGCTGACAGGAGGCCAAGATGTGAAGTTTCAAGGTCCAGGCCAGTGTGGGCAACCTGATTAAGTGAAACTATGTGGGGTGGGTTTTTTGTTGTTGTGTTGTGTTGTTTTGTTTTGTTTTTGAGGCAGGGCTTCTTTGTAGTTTTGGACCCTGTCCTGGAACTCCCTCTGTAGACCAGGCTAGCTTCGGCTCTCTGCTGGGATTAAGGGCATGCGCCACGACAGCCCATTTTGTATCTTTTTTTCAGTGATTTGAAAGAAAGGAACAGCTTTAGAGGTGGCCCCGCTATACTACCTTACCAGAACTCTCTGCTGTTGAGTTCATGCCATTCACAGTTCTCATGAGGGAGCCTGAGGTTCTGTTTCTAACCTCTGTGTGTCACTTTCATTTTTATGGTATTACAACTGAGAATCCATGAAAGTTGAATGGGATTCATTATGAATCATAATCACTTTTTAGAAGATTATTTCCAACTTATGTGTGTAGATAGAGCGCAAAGTGGCCAACTGACAAATTTATAACCTAACCTTATTTGGCTGATTACGCTTTAAATTGTTCCCTGAATATTAAAATGCTTTTTTTTTTTTTTTTTTTTTTTTTTTGGTTTTTCGAGACAGGGTTTCTCTGTGGTTTTGGAGCCTGTCCTGGAACTAGCTCTTGTAGACCAGGCTGGTCTCGAATATTAAAATGCTTATTATCTTATTAATTAGTAAACATAATTTATCTGGTTAAAAAGTCTTTTCTGTTCGCAGGCAGGCAAGATGGTACATGTCTGTGATCCTAGGACCCAGAAGGCAGTAGGATTGCAAGCTTGAGTCAAGCCTGAGCTGTGTAACCAGACCCTACCTTAAGTTAAACAACCAAATTTATGCATTATACAGAGGTTTGGGATCTGTTCATTCTTTTTTGAGACAGGCCCTTGCAATGTAGACCAGGATGGCCACCAATTCTCAGGAATCTACCTTCCTCTGTCTCTTCGGTATTGGGATTAAAGGTGTGTGCCACTGTGTCTAAGATTCTTACTATTACTTTAATGATCATTTTGGTCTGTTTAGAAAGAAAATGTCAACTGTGCATGGTGGCACACACTTTTAATTCTAGCCCTTAGAAGAGAGATGGCATATCTCTGAGGTTAAAGCCAGCTTGCTCTACCTAATGAGGGAGGCCTGTTTCAGAAAATAAAACATAAAAAATTATGTGCTGAGTCTGTAGCTTGGTTTACAAGTGCTTGCCTAGCTGTCATGAAGCCCTAGCTAGGTTTGATCTCCCGGACTGCATAAAACCAAATGTGACGGTGCTCACCTGTGAGCCAGCACGCAGGAAACAGGCTGATAATCATGCCCAGTTGCCTGTGAGGCTCAGGTCGTCTGGGGCTACACAGACAAAACCCTTTCAAAAAAGGGAAGGAAAAGATAGAGAAGCCACTTGTCTGGGTGCTGGAGGCAGAGAGGCAAGAGTGAGTATCCAGAATTGATGGGCATCCTCGGCTGTGTAACACCCTGGCTCAACGTACACACACACAGAAAAAAAAGATACTCTCTTACACTGACTTCTTGTGGTACCCATTTTTGTCTTTTCCATACCCATTTCTCCTCTAGTTGCTTCTGAAGTCAGACAGTCAGTGCAGGGTTGTAGTGCTGATGGGTTCAGCTTCTGACCTTGGTCACTGTGAGAAAATTAAGAAGGCTTGTGGAAACTTCGGGATTCCGTGTGAACTCCGAGTGACATCTGCCCATAAAGGACCAGATGAGACGTTGAGGATTAAAGCAGAGTATGAAGGTAAACTTTATAAATAAATGAGGAATTTTGGCTGTTTCTGATTTTGATAAAAGATTTTAAAATATTATTTTTGAATAATATGTTTAAAAGAGCCTTTCCATATTTCCAAGGAAAATCATGTGGCATGCCTTATCGTAAGCCATGTTTTTGTATGACTTCTGTTGTGGTCCAGCCGGCTGGTTCATACATTCCAGGGTAGGGTGTGTGATTAGAAATGTTAGGTAGGAGGAACAGAGATATGAAAGAAACACAGAGACATAGGGCGGCAGCTCAACCTATACTCAATTTGCCTGAGTTTAATTTTCATACACTTTTATACCCTAATAAAAGGGGGAAAAGAAGGCAAAAGATTGCTTAAACATGACACAAAGGACAACCAGCACAGTTACTTGCTTCAATACTTTAGACATCGAGCCATTATTTCCTGAGTAAAGCATTTGATGTTTTAGGCAGGATATGGATATGCGGCAAACACAACCTAGACCAAGTATCCTGTAAGCAGCCACTCCCTATGTCAAACCCCCTATTTTAAAATGAAGGAGCAGAAATAGGCTCATTCTCTGGGCCATCTTAATATCCAAAACACCACTTAAACACACCCTAGATCAGGATTTCTTGTTTGTAGCCACACTCGTGGTCACCAACTTTGAAAGAGTAAAAATAAGCTCACACTCTGATCTTTAGTCAAGGTGGAACAGGCTCCCATCTGTCTGCCTCCACATAGGCCTGTACTTTTAATTTCCAGGGATGCATTAGAAACCTTTAAAAGAACAAGGAGCAAGAACTTAAAACACAAGTGTGAAGGGCTGGAAAGAGGTCTCAGTTGAATTCCCTGTGCCCACATTAGGCATCCAACAACTGCCTGTAACTCCAGTCAGGGTATCTATCTGACATCCTATGCCTGTTTGGGCACCTGCATGTTTGTGATGCCAATAAACTCATGCAGGCATACATAGTAAATCGTTTTTTAAAAAAATGGCTCATTGATTAAGAGCACTCACAACCATCTGTAGCTCCAGTCCTGGGGTGTTCTGGCATGCAAGAGAGCGAACTACACCTGTAAGGATGTATGGTCTCCTTGTCTAATTATCAACGCCCCTTGAGCATTGTTTCTGCTGTGTTTCAAAAGAAAAGGAGCCCCTTACCCACCTGGATGAGGCCTAAGGCTGAAGCAGCGTTTCTTTGTTCTGGGCCTTTCTCTTTGTTAGCTTTCTTAGAAGGAAATAAGAAATAAAAAGCTATGATTTCATGAAATAAATGACAGGATAAAAATAAAGGATATGATATCATTGATCTAAAACTTTTCTAGGTAAAAATGTTTGATTCTTTCGGTGACTACTACAGAAGTATAGTTAATCATGGGAGGAATGCTTCCCGGTCCTTTTAATAAGCTAATTAAGACTTGGATTCTTTCTCCAGAAATGCAGATTGAGTTATAATATAGCTCAGTTGGTGGAGTGCTTGCTTAGCATGCAAGAAATTCGTGATTCAACATACATAAAACCCAGAAACAGGTATCACACCTATAATCCTAACTGTTGGAGGGTCAAGCTGAGCCTGGGCTAAAGTAATACCATATGTAAATATGTCAGGTTGGAAATTTGTATATGCACTTTGGCTGTTGGCTTTTGATGCTGGAAATGATCGAGCCTATAGTCTCAAGCACCCTAATCACGTTAGCTGTGGGAGCTTTACTGTATGTACCCCAGCACCCAGATCTTGTGTATTGAGGAAGTAGCCACAACATTTTTACTCACTTTTAAATGAGTATTGGTAGTGTGTTGAAGGAAAGCTCAACATGAAAGATAGCCCTTCAGCTGGTGGGGTCTTCATGTTGCCGAGTCTAAGCAACCATAGCAGAAGGAAGCTATGAACCATACATTCCCTCACCTACTTCACGACATTGCCTTTATACCATAGATCTCAAAAATGGCCAGACCTATTCTACCTAGGTTATTATTTACTGTACACTTAGGTAACAAAGTGAATCTTAATTTTGAATATATGTATGCAACTATCTTTTTAGATACTTTTTCCAGAGCAGATTACTAAGGGATTTAATTTTATTTCTATTGTATGGGTATGTGTAGGTTCATGTGCCATGAGCATGCATGCAGGTTAGAGAACAGCTTGCAAGAGTCAATTCTCTCCAACTATATGGTTTCCAGAGGTCAAGCATAGGTCATCAGACTTTAACAAAGTCCCCCTTTCCCACAGAGCCATCTCACCTGCCCAAGATTGTTCTGTTCCTGCTGTTACTGTCACCAAAACAAATTACCTGGTTATCTTGTAATTTCCCTAGGGGATGGCATACCTACTGTATTTGTCGCAGTGGCAGGCAGAAGCAATGGTTTGGGCCCAGTGATGTCTGGTAACACTGCATATCCAGTTATCAGCTGTCCCCCCATCACACCAGATTGGGGTGCTCAGGATGTGTGGTCATCTCTTCGATTGCCCAGTGGTAAGACCCTGAAAATTATCAGTACTGCATGTATACCCCAGATTTCAAGATGCAATCTCAATGTCTCTATCCAACTTCATCTACTGATATTTGATTGCACATTACAGGCTACTAATTTTAAACCAGATTTTATATTTTTTTAATTATTCTATATCTATATGCTTAATATGTATCTCTAAAAGATAAGAACTTGGGTTTATTATCCTTTAGTTTGTTTTTTACTTATTTTTAAGCTGCCAACTCATTTTTCTGTCCTTTCCCTTCTGAATCAATAGGTCTTGGCTGTTCAACTATACTCTCTCCAGAAGGATCCGCCCAGTTTGCTGCTCAGATATTTGGGCTAAACAATCATTTGGTGTGGGCCAAACTTCGAGCAAGCATATTGAACACGTGGATATCTTTAAAGCAAGCTGACAAGAAAATCAGAGAAAGCAATTTGTAAAAAAAAAGGAAAGGAAGGAAGAGAAAAAATTTACCTTTTAGGAGAAAAGTTACACATTCCTAGTTTGGATTAAAAAGGAAAGAATTCAAACAAAATGATTTCACATTAGGGAAATCAATTCAACTAACTACTGAACAAATGGTCCTCTAGATATCACCCACTATATGATCATTGTTGGGCAGTTGTGTAACATTAGCAAAGAAATGTCCTTTATGGAGTTGGAGCTATGTCTCTGCTTAAGAATCAGTGTGGTTCTCTTGCAGAGGACTGAGTTTGGTTCCCAGCATCCGTGTGGAATAATAATCACCTGTAACTTTTCATTATTTCTAAATGCTAATAATGACTTTATATAAATCAGTAGTTACTACTTGATCTTCTATAGTTCACTATTTGAAAATTAAAATATTTGTGTTGTTTATGCTAATAACAATGCATTCTTCTCACTGCATGGTCTGTATTCTAAGTCATTATCTAAGAAAGTACACAGCTACATGACTCCAGCTAAGTTTGTGCTTTGTTTCTACAGTGGTGAGGAAACCCTAGGGCCTTGCACATGTAGGCAGGCACTACCAATTTTATTTCTGTAAAACATTTGAGTCACACCTGCAGGCACCTTCCTACCACCTTTTAAAAAATTGGATCTCCAGTGTATAATCAAGCAAGTGGGTGGGTAGAAGTTTACATGTCCATTTTTATGAGAAAGGAGTATAGGTTTGCAAAGAAGCAACCACAGATGAACTGGTGACAACCCACTTTAGTCTATGTCCCACCTTTCACCTATTCAGATACTACCTCTTATAATCTACTTGCTTGGGCCCTGTAGGGTGTAATTAGTTGTTCCTTCAGCTAGACATCAAGATAGTTAAAACTTACCATATTTTCTCAGCCTTTTTCTTAGGTATTGGTGCCATCTACTTTAAGATTCTTAGCAGTCCAATGTCGAGCTTTGCCACCCTCCTACATATACCAGAAGGCTGAGTCCTCCTATTTTTGCCATTTGGTGTCTTAAAGGCTATTGGCCAAAGAAGCTCCCACTGCAGAAAGGTGCTGGGGATATAGTGTAATGGCAGAGCATTTCTCTGGCATGCACAAGGCTCTGGAAGGAGGAATCACTTTTTCCCCTGGAAAACAATCCCCTTCTTCCCCTCCCTGACACTCCAAAAAGTAAAATACTGGTTATTTGGGCTTCATCTTCAGTTTCCATAAAACAGGCACGGTGGATATAACATGTTATGAAATTGCCTGCGGGTCATGGGGGCCAGGCAGTGGGTCCTGAGAGCCGCCACCCCTAGGCAGGGCCCAGCCATGCAGTGGAGGCAGCAGGCTGGTGCTACAGAGAAGTGAGTCCCCGGAAAGTGCAAGTTCCCAGCAAAGGTGCAGGTTCCCTGCGGCATGTAGGAGGCACATGGACAGACACATCATACAGAATAGAATTGTACATTAGTTGAGTTATGGAATGGGGAAGGAAAGGGAAGAGAGAAAAGAGGACAGCAAAAAAAAAGGGAGCGGAGAAGTGGGGAGAAAGGCAGAAGTGAAGCTGCCTCTCAGAGAGGAAGGTGGAAAAGAGAGCAAGCTCAGGAGGGAGGGAGTGGGCGTGGTTTGTCTCCCAAAGTGATGAACAATCATAACAGTTCTTTGCTGGCTTGTCAACTCTAGAGAAATGCTGCACACTTTGTTTTTCTCACAGCATATTAGTTACTCTGCACATGCGTGACAAGATACCAACCACAGCTACTTAACAGGATGGCTTTCTTCTGGCTCACAGTGGGGAAGGCCTGCTGGCAGGAGTGCTAGTCATGCTCCCAGGGGCAGAAAGGGGAATGAATGTTAGTGCTAGGCTCACTCTGCTTTTCATTCTGTCCATGGCCTAGCCCATGGGATGGTGCCTCCCACATCTAAGATGAGTCATCCTGGCTCAGGGAGCTCTCCTGGGAATACCTTCAACACATCCAACAGTGTGTTTCCATGGTGATTTTAAGTCCTGTCAAGTTGACAGTTAACCATCACAGTTTCACTCCGCTATGCCTAGGTGTCTCCTAGAAATTAAAGAATTACAGTTTGGGTTTTTTTAGATTTATTTATTATGTATACAGTTTTCTGTCTGCTTGTGTGCCTGCAGGCCAGAAGAGGGCACCAGATCTCATTACAGATGGTTGTGAGCCATCATGTGGCTGCTGGGAATTGAACTAGGACATCTGGAAGAGCAACCAGTGTTCTTAATGCCTGAGCCACCTCATCAGCCCCCATGGTGTTTTGGTTTTTTTAACATCTAGACAGTCTTACTGTTGCTTGATGTGTTGATATTTCTGCTCTACTACCCCACAGTAGTGAAAATTATTTTTAAGCATGGACAGATTGGTTAACAGAACATCTATTAGCAGTGCTCATCAGTTTGACCATTTGTTTTCACATTTTTATTTTTAAATATGTTTACATGTATGGGTATGTGTGTGTAAATATCAGTGCCCTTAGACCAGAGATGTCAGGAGTTTCCTAGAGCTGGAGTTACTGCCTGGTATGGGTGATGGGACTCATGCAAGTCCTCTGGAAGAACAGTGTATTCTCTTAACCAAGGAGCAATTTCTCTAGCCCCCATTAGTTTCTTTTAATATGCAGTATAAGTCCTCGGTATAATCATTATTTGCATTTGAAAGTATGTTTTGTTTAAAATGCGTAAACGTTTTTCATTTCCCTGGCTTGTAGAGGAACATTAAGTGCCAATGGTATAGTTTTTATTTCTTGAGACACTGACATGTAGCCCAGTGTGCCCTACACCTGATCTATAGCCGAGGGTAACCTTGGATTTCTGACCTTCCTACCACTACCACCTGATTTAGATGGTGCTGAGGATTGGACCCAGGCCTTTATGGTGCTAGGCAAGCACTCTGCCAAATGAGCTATACCCCTAGCCCTGTCTGGTTTTTAAATCTTTGTTGTAAATCTATGTGAGATTTTTGTTGCTTCAATAAGTAATCTAAAATCAAGTGAGTTAATATGTAAACCTGGCAAATGACTATAGTATATTAGATCCTTTTAACAACTGTATAGAAAATAAAATTCTAGCTCACCATGAAAACTACCCTGACTAAGAGGACCTCATCAACTACATTTGTTCTGCTTTGGTGTAGGCAAAGACTGCTCAGACTCTGAATAATCACACAGAAACTATAGTAATTACAACACTGTTTGGCCTGTTAGCTCAGGCTTATTAACTAACTCTTACATCTTTTTTTTTAAAATATTTATTATGTATACAATATTCTGTCTGTGTGTATGCCTGCTGGCCAGAAGAGGGCACCACACCTCATTACAGATGGTTGTGAGCCACCATGTGGTTGCTGGGAATTGAACTCAGGACCTTTGGAAGAGCAGGCAATGCTCTTAACCTCTGAGCCATCTCTCCAGCCCCTAACTCTTACATCTTAAATTAACACATTTCTAGTAATCTATGTATCACCATGAAGCTGTGACCTACCAGAAAGGTTTCATGCATCTGTCTCCTTTAGCAGCTACCTGGTGTCTCTTGACTCCACCTACTCTATATTCATCTTTGTTTGGATTTCCTGCCTGGCTATATTCTGCCCTGCTATAGACCAAGGTAGCTTCTTTATTAACCAATAGTAATAAAACATTCACAGTATACAGAGGGGAATCCCTAGAACAGGTTAACATGTCCCAGCAAATAAAAGGCTGTTTTGGATGATGTGAGGCTAAAAAGCACTTGTCTCATGGGATGGGTGGTGTAAAATAGTATACGCGGAAGCTTCCCAGGAGTCATAAGTGATCTGGTTTATTCATACACAGACAAGCTTTTGAGTACCTACTAATGAATTTGACTGGGCTAAGAGATGCCCAGGTAGCTGATAAAATTATTTCTGCGAGTGTTTCTGAAAGGAAATAGCATTGAATATTGACCAAGTAAAAATCTGTTGAAGGATAAACTAGATTGTTCTGTTTGAGACGGAAAATGTCTCTTCCCCTAGACATTAGCATTCCTGGCTAGGAGCCACCATGCTTGACCTGAAACTAATCATGTACACTGACCATGGCTTTTCTTTCTCTGGAAACCTCCCACAAATACCCATAACATGTACAAGATTCTGAGGATGCAAAGATGAGTACAACTGACTTTCTGCCCTTAGTAAGTCTTTGCTAAACAGTCCTTTGTAGTGTTTGCATGGCCGGTGGTTTTGTGTGTGTGAGGAGGTTGGTTTTCGTTGATTTTGTCTTTTGTGGGATCACCCATCCCTGTGGAAGGGATTGAACACAGGTCCTTGTGTGTGCTGGGCAAATGACTGAATTAGCTTCAATACTTTAAATGACCCTAGTATGGAATAGTGACAAGGTGCTTTTGATAGACTTTCTGAAATCTAAGGAAAAATGCAGAGAATAAAGAGGGGGATTAACATCTCCTTTTATTCTCAATCATCACCCTCAGTTTTTTCATAAAACTTAAACCACCACCAGGTATCTTTGTTTATTGCTTATCACTTCCAGCTAGGAAGTACATAACCCCAGTACACTGGACATCTTGTTTTATCTCAGCAACAAGTCAATTTCTAGGTATACACATGCCACTGAAATACTCAATGAATGAAAATAGTGACAATTCCCAAAGATGGAGACACATCTAGTGCATGTCCAGCAGCTGTCCTCCAAAGACCCTTTTGACACTGTTTAGAGGTGGTGGGACCTTTAGAAGGTGGAGCCTAGTTAGAGTGTCTTCTTAAGGGAGACATTTGGATTGGGGCTTTTCCAGCTTCTTGCTTCATGGTAATCATTAAGTGAGCAGCTCTAGGTGACTACCACAAGCTTCCCACCATGCTCTTCCTCGCCAAGGTTCCAAAGCAACCAACCAACCATGGGCTGAAATTTGTGAATTCATGATCCAAAATAATCTTAGTTCAGTATGATGTATTACACTAAGCCCACAAAGTTGGCAGGCACCATATGACCACTGGCTAGACAGCCCTTGACTCAGACAATAGGAAATAAATATTTGGTTTAAAAGATGAGTAACAGCCAGGTGGTGGCGGTGTACTGGTAGCGTACACGTTTAATTCCAGGCAAAGGCAGGCAGACATTCCTGAGTTCTATGCCAGCTTGGTCTACAAATCGAGCTTCAGGGCAGCAGCAGAACTGTTAACACAGAGAAACTCTGGGGGCGGGGGGGACTGCATAACAACCGCATTAGGAGAACCTGGGGTTGACTCTGGAGGAAGTGAAGGGAGGTTTGGCACAGGTCTCCCCGGTTACCATAAAAAGCAGTGACAGCAAAGTAAATAAGGTTTCTGGCCTCAGGATTATAAGAGTAAGATAGTACTTAAATACTTAAAGGATCAATGCTCAGAGGTACAGTCTGGTACGGAGTGCGTAGCTGATGGTAAGAGCACTTAGCATGCATGGGCCTGCTTTCCACC